CACCCCCACCCACCCCCCGCTTGCAGCCCTCCCTGAAATCAGTCTCTGTCTCCTGGCTTGCGTGGGCTTCCCTGCTCTACACTCCTGAGATGGTGACGTAGGGCGGGGGTGTGGCTTAGTGCATCTCTGGGGCTGAGCAACTCTGCTCTCCAGGTCCTGAGGAAGCATGGGCTCCTTTGAGAGGATCCCTCCCTTCTTCCTCCCAACTCTGCTGCGCCAGAGCCAGGTTTATAGCACGTAGAAATTGGACTGTATATGCTGAATGCCTGGGAAGTTCTCTGTATGCCAGGGGACTGCGGCAAGGGGCTGGGAAGGTGGCAGAAGGACTTGGTTAACGAATCCCTCTCCCTTTCTACCTCCACCACCAAAGGTCCATGGCCACCACTAAAGTCAAATCTATGCCATCCATGGGGGATGTCTCACAATATAGGCTTCTTTGAAGGCTGATTCTATTTCTTTAATTCTGCTGTAAGGATGGGAGAGTGCTAGGGGGTTACAGATGGAAAATAGTATGTGATTATTTGCAATGCCTGGAGTCTAGGTGAAGGAAATAGAGTTGGGAGGGCCACATGTTGACTTTTGCTTCTGGAGATGGACATTTGACCTTCAGCAAGAAAATGGTTCTCTTCTTTGCTTGGTACTCATGTTGGATGCTATTGTGGATTTCCTTCTACCTCTTTGTCCCATGGCACAGAAAGAGAGGAGGCAGAGGATGTTCAGATGTGGGGGGATAGTGAGCTCTGTGGTCTTGGGGTGAGAATGACTGGGCCATGAAGTTTGTACAACTTTAAGAGATTGGTCTGGTTGGGCCAGAGGGAATGTGCTGGGTTGGAGAGAGAGATGCAGCTGAAAAAGTAGCTTGAACCAGACCTTTGGGGCAGGCAGGGGAGCCTTTGAAAATTTTTTAGGAGGGCTGTTATGAGATCCAAGCGACACTTGGGAAAGATCCTGTGTGATAGTGGAATAGAAGTGAGATGGATTGCAGGGACGACAGAAACTAACCAGCAGCCTCCAGCAGTGAATGGAGACAGGCATCTTGACGTGGAAGGTGACCAGGAGAATGGAAAGGAAGAGAGACATGGTGATAGGAGAACTGGAAGATCTTAATAGACTTGAATAGGTGAGGGGAACCACATACCTAACTTTGTGATTCTGAGCATAGGAGGAAAAGGAAAAGTCAGGATGGGGTGGGGAGGGGGGAGGGTGTTGGTAAAAATGACAACTTTCATTCTAGACAAGTTCAATTTGAGGAGCCAGCTAAATGCAGATGTCCAAGTGGGTCTGAAGATGATGAATTGCAGCGTGAAAGACATTGTGGACCTGGGATGTGGATTTGGGCTTATCATCCACACTAACCGTGGGGCCTGGCTGTGGTTTGAGGAACATCCACCAGCTCCTGTCCTGACGGGGCAGAGCATCTCTCCCTGAGCTCCTGAGTGCCACCCATCGTTCCTCTAGCTCCCAAGAGTACAGCAGCTGCTGGCCTGCTGCCCCAAGGCAGGAGGGGGCCTGCTGCTGCCACGGCTACCACTACCACCAAGCTGCCAGCCCTTCACACCTCCTACCAGATTTAGAACCAGAACCTAGAACAAAGTGTTTCATTCCTTTTTGCTCTGTCTTTCTCATTCGATCAATTTCCATTGCCAGTCCTTGTGTGTGTGTTTACATTTGAAAGCAAACCATTCCTCCTTTTAGTAGGAAGGAACTCAAAGGAGCAAAGAGAACGCGTAGCACCTAATATTAGTCGATGGTCTATGAAATCTAATTTCTCCACCTGGAGAGAGATCCTGGGTGTCATAAAGAGCATCCCTCTGTGTCTGGGGAGGCCCACCCAGAAATCATTCTGGACAGACAAAATTAATTCTAGGAAAGGAACTACCAAAATTTACTCTGGGCAGTTTTTTTTTTTTCCTCACAATAAGTTCTGTCTGATGTTTATTCCCCATCCCTCATGCAGCATTAGAAGCCCATTTCTGTTGTCTGCCTTCCTGTCAGTGCTTTGTATTTAAGAACTGTTCCTGAGCATGACTTTGACCCTGGCAGATGTATTAACCATCCCTCAACATTACCCCGAAAGGGCTAAAGGAAGAGCCAGGTATGAAGCTTCACAAATGGACACGTGACCTCAGAAGGATTCCAGGTTATTCAGAAAGCTGGATGGCTGGTTGGCTCAGTTGGTTAGAGTGCAATATTGTAACGCCAACCCTTGCAAGGGTTTGGATCCTCGTACTGGTCAGTTGCGCCAAAACAAACAAACAAAAACCTCCCAGAAAGCTGAAATGTTTTATCCTTTCTGCCTCTTCCTCTGGGCTTGCCTAAAGTTAGAGTTTGGTGATTGGTGCACATAGGAAAGAAAGTTTGGCTGGGATTACAGGCAGCCTTCCCAACATTTCATACAGAAGTAGACAGCCCTCAGGTCAAACTGTGGTTTATGGGATATGATACCTGTAAGCAAATGTGGCTCTAGACTTCACCTTCCAGAGGTCAATGGCATGGGAGACTGGAACTAGTCGGGCATGTCCTCCTTCCCTTCCTGGTCAAGGGGACAGCAGTGGTCACCCAGTTTCAAACTGGGGTCTGCTGGGATCTGTTCCAGGTGTTAAGGATGGAATTGGACCAGTCTCTCCATGCTGTCTGGTTCTTTAGCACGTACAGTAGCCTTGACCCAGCACGAACCTAACTGGACCCCAAGTGCTAGAAGCCATGATGTTGGTCTTCTTGGTCCTATGTGGTCACCCTTCAACTGAATCCATGCCACCCCTCCTTACCCACTCCCCCAGTTCTTTGCCATAGGTCCCAGAAGTTACAGCAAGCACGAAACCTGAAGGTCACAGGTTCCAGCCCCGATGTTCCATGTGTTCATTTCCTATTTGAACTTATTGAGGGAATTTTTTCATATCCATATCTTGATGGTTTTCCTAAATATTTAAATAGATTTTAAAGTTACCATAAATATTAATCTGGTGTTATAGAGTAATATCATGATAAAAATGTCTTATTTTCTATCATTGAATCTGTTGGGCTTTTCCTTCGTGATTCCTCCTGTTGTTTCAGGCCTGACACAGTTTTCATCTCTCTCCAGATCTTGTAAATTTGCCCTTCTATTTCTTACTACTTTTTCTATGATTAAAAAAAAAAACCATGTAATCCTTTATTCCATCTGGATCTTATCCCTATCCACTTATGCCAGCATCACTTATTAAGAAACCCTTCCTTTATACATTGTTTGAGAAATGTTATCATTTGGTCCATTTTTATACGTGGTTGGGTTTATTTCTAATTTCTCATCTATGCCACTGACATTTATAATTCTGTGCAGGTAATATACCCTTTAGTTATGGCTTTATATTTGTTCCATCGGTTTCTGATAAGCTCTTCTTTTTCAGGTTGTACTTTGAGTCTCATTCTTAGGCCCTTCTTGAATCCTAGGGAGTTTTAACCCACGGTCAAATATTTGACCCAAGGCCAAATAGCGGGTCAGTGGCAGATGTGGGACTGGATCCTAGTTAACCCAGAAAGGGCTTCCTGGGTTGGCAAAGCCACTTCCAGGTTCGCCCTTAAAAATGCTTCCAAATGTTTAATGAGCAAAAGTGTTTGGAGCAGACTTCTGTTAAGTCAGCAAAGCACAGTTGCTTCCTGAGCTCAAAAGAGCAAGAAGGAAAAGGAAGAATTGAAAGTGACTTGATTGTGTCTCTCTTTTCCCTTTCCAAAGCACTGGGGAGCATGCATTACACAGACCCCCAAAAGAGACCCCAATTTTGCTAATCTCTCAGAAGGAAAGCAGGCAAATATTAACTATCCCACTGAAATTATGTTTATAATCTGCTACAAACAGAGTGTGGGGCAGCCTAGGTGGGCTGCTGGGGCAGAACCTTGGATTTGGACTCAGACCTGGGTTCAAGTTTTACTGACTTTGTGATTGGGGCAATCACATTAGCTCTCTGAGCCTCAATTTCCTCCTCTGTAAAATGGGGATGATAATCTTTTTTTTTTTTTTTTTAAAGATGACCGGTAAGGGGATCTCAACCCTTGGCTTGGTGTTGTCAGCACCACGCTCAGCCAGTGAGCAAACCGGCCATCCCTATTTAGGATCCGAACCCGTGGCCTTGGTGTTATCAGCACCGCACTCTACCGAGTGAGCCATGGGCCGGCCTAGGGGATGATAATCTTTAACTCCAGGGAGACTGTAAGAATTAAATGGACATGGAAACTTCCTTTACAAAGTCTGATTCCTGGTGGATGTTCAACAAATTTCTCTCTCTCTTTTTTTTTTTTGTGATCGGTAAGGGGATCGTAACCCTTGGCTTGGTGTCGCCCGCACCATGCTCAGCTAGTGAGCGCACCGGCCATCCCTATATAGGATACGAACCCGCGGCCTTGGCACTCCC